TCACAGTTACACGACCTCCTGAAAACTCTGGAACCTTTTCCCAATTTCAATTCTGAATGCAAGCGACCAACAGATCGATCTCCACCAAGCAGTACTGCATAAACCTTCAATTACTCGCGTCATCGAGCAGCACTCACCGCTCATGGGGCCGGCAACGATCCACCCCAGCCAACCAGGCCATTTGGCGAGCATCGATTGCAAATGCTGCGAAGATCTTTTGGTCCACAGCTGGGACGACTGATTCCAAGCTCGTTCTATGATTGTGCACGAACCCCCGTTGTGAGCGCCGATCTGAGCGAATTGCGAAATTTAAGCAAAATTTCCTCTGACTTGGATTCCAATCCTGGGCTACTTTGATTAACTTAATTTCAGCTAGCAGATGCAATTCAAGTCCGAGGCTCGTATTATGTTACAATTTCAGGGCACTTCCTATCGTACACAAGTCAAACTTATGAGGCAATAGCCTTGGAAGATGTATAAAATGAGCAAATGAGCAGATAATTCTTTAAGTGGATAAATAACATATCAAATTGGTCCTAATCAGTATTTTATCTTTGAAATCTTTATTTCGAATGTCTTCGCGCAATATTCCTGCAAAATACGCATCGCATGCACCTTACATGAATTCTTGCGGGATTAATTATAATACACCAAAAAGATGTGAAAAGTCGATCGATCACTAACTTTGAATCTCGTTTTCTTTCACACTGAGACTCAACATTGCATTGCATTGTATTAAACTGCACCTCTCTGTTGCAATTCTGTAAAGTGTTGGTAATTTTAATACAAAGCGTATAAAACAGAGTTTGAGTCACTCACTTCATGTGTGGGGTCACGGTAACAGTCGACAAGGTCCTATCGGAATTTCCTCACCTCTCATGACTTAACTAATGAAGCACAGCAACATTAGGCCATGGCAATAAGCCAGAGAAAAGCCACGCGATCGATTGCAAGTATTTCGGTGACTACAAGTCCAGGTCTTCGCGATGATTCCACATTGCTGTCGTTCAGTGTCCGAGGTCATTTTCAATTACTGACTTCCGATCAGTGAGGAGTGTGCACCTAATCTATGTCCGTCTGCCACCTCTACTCGGAGTCAAATTTCCAAACATTTACTTCACCGGAATGGCTCAGATTTGAACTGGTCGTCTTCTCTGCGAGAGCTGAAGCATCAGCCAGGCCCTTCAGCTCCACTCCTCCAAATTGACTAGGAGGGTTTCGGAGCTCAGAAACTGCGACCGCTGGAGCACCGTGGTCACAGTTCCTCACACGACCTAATGGGGTCTGATAATTAGATTCGCAAGTCAGATGCACAGGGAGGTCAGCACACTGCAAAGACAATGAATTGTTGAGCAAACCCTGAACTCTTTTGTGAAACCAGCATTGTTATGTGTTTTCCAATAGAATCAATATTTTTATTGATTTCACGTTTTAAACAAATGAGAAGCATAAAATATTGAAATGTGTGTGTGGAAAATGGATATATATATATATATATATATATATAACTATCATGAAATAAATAAATAAATAAATAAATAAATAATCTTTAGATTCATTTCTCCACTATTGGATCCAAAACCAATGAAAACCAACCACGTTCATCATGATTACCATATTTTTCATCATGGGTAGGTCAATTTAGTAAAAACTTGGGTCTATTTAACATTCCTCTATATATAGACATACATACATTAAATGTTCCCCAATATTTAATATCATTTTTTATCAAATATACATTGTGAAATGGAGTCAATTTCCAAGATTTTGATTGATTGTTATGAGTTATTTATTTTGGAGGGATTAATTATCAGAGAAAATATTACATAGATAGATAGATAGATAGATATAATTGCTAGTGCATGTGTTTGTTTACTTGTTAGTTTTATATTGTAAGAAGTTACATTGATTTTGGAAAGAAAAAAATGATAGTAATAAGTAAATAAATGAATGATTGCACCCAGATATTTAGAATACATGCAATGGTTTCAGTTAAAACTTTTAGAAAAGTTTTGACTCTTTTGAAAATGTAAGGGGTTGTTTGTAGTTTGTTGTAAACAGGTACATAACTGTGAAAAATGTCATGTTCTTTTCAACAAGTATTCCAATAATTATTCTGAGGTTCATCTTGGCCATGACCTTTCATTGTATGTTTTGTTATGTACAACATTGTGGTGGTCCATGCAAGTGTCCAGGTGCATATTTTGTAGTGCATGCCACCATAATCCGTTCAATTCAACAATGGTGAAGGGAGTATGGGGACCTTGGTAAAAAAGATAAATAAAATAAGATAAAAAAAACGTGTGTTTCTAAAAATAAATAAACAATACAAAAATATTCTTGTTCTAACTTCCAAAGAAGTTTCCAAGTAGAACATTGAAAAATAATTGAGAATGATTAAAATTGATTAAGATTAAAATTATTTTAAAAAACAAACTCCCTCTTCAATAAGTGACATCAGTTCTAAAAATGTGGGTGTCAATCAGAGCTTGTGGATTCCCGTCATCTCAGCCCTTGAGAATCTTCTAGAATTATTCCTTTGTCCATACTTCCTTATGTGGGTGATTCACTATTGACCATGTGAATGCAAATTTCAATGCACCGAAGTGGGTCAGGACCAAGTTTAGAATGCTTTTTTTATGCTTTTATGGTAACCTTTTACTCTAAACATGGCTGTCTGACCCTGGTCAAACTACAGGGGGTGAGGGACTATGTGTGGATTTTTCAGCATTGCCAACAATTGAGTCAGTGTTTTGGCTCTATTCTATTTACTGTGAAAAACCAAAATTAGGTACTGGGGTTGTTTGGACTATCTCCTCCATTTTAGTGACAATTATTGAAGTAAAATCGATCCAATCATAAAGACTGACGGAATATATAAGTTGTATTTGTATACACAAATTGAAAGGCCAAAAAGAAGTTTAGACTTGTGGTAGCATCCAAAGTGGCAAATTTAGCCATAGGGAACCAACCTTAATGAGTTTGAAAATAATTCATTGTGCTTAAATACAAACTTTGAATTAGGAATATGAAAAGTTCTTCATGGCTATACACTGACAGAGGATTCTAAATTTCAGAAAGAAAGATAAAAAGAATATGAATAACTAAATGACGAAATAAAGGGGAAAAAATGAAACAAAACGAAAAAGTAACATGAGGACACACAAACACACAAGATACAAACAAATCATGGTAACTCTTCATTGAGAAATAATAAAGAATGTTGATTAGTTCCACATATTTGTTCTGTAACAATTTACAAATACTGTTAAGGAAATGTTTTTACTGAAGAAACACAAATTATCAAAAATTTGAATTCTTATACATATATATATATATATATATACACACACACACACACACACACACACACATATATATATATATATATATATATATATTGCCGTTTTTTATTCAGTTTTCCATATTTCATAAAATTTACAAATATTCAAGTTACATGATTGTAAAAGTTACAATGTGCTGATGTAAAGCTCTATCACAAATTTGATTACAAAATTATTTTAATAGATTTTATTTTATTATAGTTACTTGTTTAAGCATAAATTGGAGTACATTTCCTGTTATTATGAATACTAGTATGGCATGTTTATCCCTGGTACACCTAGATGTTATAAGTAATTAAATTCTTGTTTTACCTTTTTAGGGTCCAAGATATCCTGTAAGTCATCCTTGGGAGCACCTCACTCACTCCGCATAATTCCATCCATATTTTATATTGTCTAGGATGCTTGATAGTTAAGATCTTCTTACTTTATGTTATATTATAGGAATTGTTAAATTGATTCATAAATTTACTAAATAACCCACCCATTATCATTTGTTAAGGGTCCAACCATTTTTTTCATTGATTTTTAATCAATGCAAATCAGATAATGGATTTTTTTTTTTTTTTTTTTTTTTTTTTTTGATGATGGATTAGAATGAGTGGGCCGATTTAATAAAGGCTTGGGTCAATTTAATAATTTCCTATTTTATATTACATATCATTTTTATATGTTACATGTTCATACTATCAATAACATAGGTAGTTGGATGTACTCATGTAACAAAGTCAGGTAGGAGAACACTATGTACATCAAAATAGATTATAATTATAACAAATTAGATTATATTATGGCTTGGGTATATCCTTGGTACACCAACTATTTTCAAAGATTTTTTTTTTCTTTGTTTTATTTAAGTTCAACAAAAATCACTGTGTGGACTAAATGATTTTGAATCTATTAAATCGATCTTTTGTTCAATATACAGACAATGCATAGCTTTGCCATCACATACAGACAATGTTTTATTATATATATATATATATATATATATTGATAGATGTTGATGATTGTATTTTTAAAATGTAATAAATAAAAAGTTGCTTCAACATTAAATCTACCATCAAAAATCATAACAACAGACCAAAATTGTGATGATCTATTTCTTTTATTTATTTATTTATATTTTTCTATTGAATGTATATGGATATTTGTTTTTATATATGCATAATAATACAAAATTATATCAAATTACTACTTTTGAATCATAAATACAATAACATCTTTTTTGATAAAGTAAAATGTTATTCAACACTGCTTTCAAAAAATGATATTTCAAATAGAATATTGGATGAATATTATATTTGGAATTTCATGAATTTGAAACTATACCATATCTAATTTGTAGTATTTTTTTATTTGATTTTGGAAAAATATCATGTATATCACTCAAACATGTTGAAATATCAAGAATATCTTTGTATTCATAGTAATACCAAATATACCCCTGAGATTGTGATAATAACAAATGTACCTTAGTTGGTGATAAGATATCACAAACATTTCTCGTTTAGTCATCATCTAGAACCTAGATCATGGACCATGCAAATTACACCACTCTTTTTCAACCTAGAATACAAATGCAAATAAGACTATCTTTTGGAGTATTTTGTCAAGCTCACATCATCACCTGAGTACTAGAAGATGTTTGCTTGCCTAGAGGCTGGTTCAGGTGCATTATATTCATGGACCTACACCCTTACAATATCATGCTTTTGTTGCTCTATTCTTTAGGAATGGCACAACCTCACCATGCCACTGAATGCAAGTCTTTTTCATGCTGCACTTCTAAATCAACAATTCCACTAGTATTTTGTGGAAGCTTTGGGTACAGCTTGGCCCATTGGTTGGTCCAATATGCAAGAGTATGTTGGGGAGTTGATTTTATTAAGTGAAAGAGATTGGAGTGAAAGCAAGAGAAGTGAAGAGGGTTTGGAATGGTAGAATGCAAATTGGAGTAGTTGCATGGCAAGTGTAGTGAGGAGCATTGCAAGGGAAAGAATGAATGTTGGTGGTATGTTTTCTATTATCACAAATTTGAGGGGTATATTTGATATTATTTATATTTATTGGTGTAACATCTGTTTTAAATTGCAACTGTTAATCATTTTTTTAAAGTTGATGATTGTAAAATGAGTATTAATTATTCTCTGAAATGAAATCATACATAAAAATGATATCATATATATATATATATATATATATATATATATAAGATCTAATACAAAAGTTACAATGTAAGACATTATGTTGAATTTTTAATTCTTCTGTAAGTCGAAGTGGATATGCACCAATATCATGAAAGGCCGTTAATTTAGGAATTTAGTGCATAGTTACTTTCTTAATAATTTATTCAGAAATGTAACTGGTGCAAGGTTTGAGAAATCTAATCCAAATAGTTCATAAGTGAGTTTGAGTGCGAAAAATAATACAAGTCTAACGTGCGTCGCTGTGAAGAATTTCCACCCGTGCAAAAGGGCACGGGCGCGGGTTGGGCCGCTCATTCGCCTACGATGAAATGTTTTCGCTATTCATCGAAATACCTCTGTCATCCTTCTGTAAAAATGTGATGAAAGTATTGGAAAGGCGTATATTATTCGTCCTGACGTTCTCCATGAGGAGGTGTCACTCGATGTACGAAATCTCGATGAACGTGGTTCGCCCTACGTTCATTCATCGACAAAGTTGTGCAATCTCGCTCCCCTTGTAATGCTTCCCAATTTCTTTGGTGATTTTTATCTGCGCCGCCGCGGCCGCTTCGCATTTCAATCTTTTGTCGACACGTTGGATCGACACCTTTTGTTCGTGGTTTCAGGGATTGTCTGCTGGACACAGTATGGAACGGCGGTTCCATCTAGATCTGTATCACTCATTCTAGGCTGCTGTGGGCTGTAATTGGTGCACTTGTGTACGGGTAGGTGGAAATTTCAACATATTGATCTGTGCATGTGAATTGCGGTGTCGGATGGGCGTACAAGCATGGGAGAATTGCAAATTGGGACTCACAAGCTTGTAGAAGCGGAAATGGAGATGGGTTATGACTGCAAGACCGAGGACATAGTTGATGAAGTGGCAGAGTCATGGGTAACTTATGAGAGGGAATGCTACTGGGAGGCCGTTTTAGTTTGAGGTTCAGATGAGTATTATCTGAGGTGCTGGTCAGTCACAACATTTGGCTACAGAACAAAGCATTTTTGTGATCATTGGTGGCAGTTTTGCCCCTGGGGCTCTTATACTCTGACTCCTCATTTTGGGTCTCATCACGATGCTGGAAGTGCACAGATGCCGACAGATTGAGTGGTCTCCAAGCGGTGTCGTTGCACTTGCCACCAGCGTAGATGGGACAGCTGTAGCTGTTGCTCGGGAGAACGGTGCTATAGAGATTTGGAGTGTTGCTGCTGGGTCCCTAGGATGGTATTGCCAGTTGGTACGTGCTCTAGTTTTTTCTGCTTAGCTCCTTTGCCTGGGTCAATGTTAGGTTTAGGGTTTTGGGAACTTTTGCCGAGGTAGCTTATCTGCGATATTTTACGACAACAAGTGATGGTACTATATAAAGAAATGGAGGGAATTCTATGCTCATGACAGTGTCTACAAATGCATTTTCTGAAGCAGCTATAATTTGAGGGTTTAGGTTAGGGTAGTGGACTGTCATGCGTCATGGATTGCATAGGACTTACGGTTGTTGGATTAGCTGTTTGAATATGTACTCCAAGTAACTGAATTTCACTTTCAGCCCAATTTGGAGCGTAGCACCCCAAAGCTCCTTGAGCTTTCTAATGGACTTGGGGTTTTTGATGTCTGATCAGGTGCTAAGTGTTTAAAAATCAATACGCGGGTTTCTGAGATAACACAACTAGTACCTGAACACTGTATTTTCCAATTGCCTTGGTTTGCAGATTATACCAGGGAGACAAGGTTCAGCTATTTCGTCTCTGGTATGGTGCCAGTCTCTAGAGGAAGATTCATCACCTCTCGGCAGGTTATTCTCCTCAGGGCTCGATGGCTTGGTCACCGAGTGGGATCTTCAAACTCTCCAACCCAGAGTGCGAGCCCTTCTTTTCTATGAATCTTGAGCACTCACTAAATTAGGGTTATATTTTTGAGCTATTAATTAAGTGTTTTCAGACCTGCGTATAGTGAGTATTGTTATAAATTCTGGCTCTAAATCCGTCTTTCTCTTATCGTAGGCGGTGATGGAGTCAATGGGAGGATCCATATGGCAATTGGCTGCAGAGCACATGGATACAATTGTGTCCAGGAGCCTAAAGGGAAGCTCAAACAGTAGTGTTCGTGAAACCGAGGGAAATGACAGTGACGACGAAGGAAGCAGTAGCAGCAGTGATAGTGACGATGAGAGCGACAATAGACCGCAAAGAGTGGCGCTTGCTTGTGAAGATGGTGTTGTTAGAATATTTGAAGTTGCTACAGCCCAGCATGGTCTAGTGTATCGGAAGTCTTTCCCTCGAGTTATAGGTAAAGTTAAGATCTATCTATTGCTTTAGACTTACCGTTCTCTCTGTGTGAAGATCTGTGTGCTCTTACTCTTTACTGTACTACTCAGGGTTTTCGTTCTACTCAGTGTGTATCTTTGCTCAGGTCGAATTTTGAGTGTTGCGTGGACTTGGGATGGAGGGAGACTGGTTGCCGGTGGTTCGGATGGGTGAGTGTGTATGTTTTTGTTAGTATCAATCAATACTTTTCTGTTTCAGTATATGTTTATGTTGTCGACACAGAGTGTTCCTCTTGAACGTGCAGGTGTGGTGGATGTTCATAAGTCCTACATCTCCCTTCAACCTCTCGAACAGGTCACTTGTTGAGAGGTTGAAGCAGTTTCTTTGCTCCATGATGAGTAATTACTCTAGGGTGTATATGCAGGTGCATAAGATGCTGGGACATTGCCAACACTAGAGAAATATATCGAATTACTGCTGGCGTCGGTGGCAAAAGAAGTGATGCTGATTTATGCATATGGTCTTTGTTGGTTCTAAGGTGATTTTTTTAATGCTTTCTAAAGCTCCTTATGCAGAATTGTAGGTTGGAACCTAATATCATGCTAGCAGAATAATTGCAATCCTGATAACATTGTCTGGTCTCTTAATGCCAGGTGCTGGTATTGATGCATAGTAGAAATTGATAGACTGACATGTTTTACCTAGAACTGATCTTAGCGGGTTGCTCTTGCTTCTTCGAGTTTCAATGGTGTTTCGGTGTATTTCGAAGCTTTAGCTGCTTCGCCAAACTTCCATGGATAATGTTGTCATGGGTTGTGCAGGAATGGAGACATTGTTAGTGGTGATAGCAGTGGTAGCACTCAGTTTTGGGACGGTCACCTGGGAACACTCTTGCAAGCTCAGACTCGGCATGATGCTGATGTGTTGGCCTTAGCCACTTGTGGTGACAATGTTTTTGCTGCAGGGGCTGATGGAAGGGTTGATTTCTTTCCATCTTTGAGTTCATTTAAGATGTCTGAAGCAACGATGCTCGAGTTTTTATTGTTGTCTCAACATTTATTTCATTTATGAGTGCCTTTCTTCGTTCATTATAGATTAGTTTAATATTGTGTGGGGAGGGACACTGAGAATTGCTACTTTAAACGTACTAATTTGTGGTATGAAACAGGTGGTACAATTTCGTAGAGTGGCCGAGAGTCAACGGCTGGATGCCTCTACATCAGATGCTATTGACGTTGCCAGAGGAGGTTCGGGTGAAAAATGGATATATGTAGGCAGCAAACGCACTCATACTCATGACGTCAAGGCCCTCACTATCGCTACTCCGATTCTGTCGCGAGTAACATTTGGAGGTACTATTATTTATTTTTACCAACTTTTTTGGTGGTTAGTTTAAGCAGAAGGATCAATGCAGCTTTCAGATCAATTACAGCAGCAATTTTGCTTCGTGCAGAATATTCTGGCTGATTTCTATGTTCAGAACGCGAACTTGTACAGATGTCTATTGGCATTCGCTAGATATTCAAGAGTTTGAGCTTTTATTCACTATATGGCTTATTTTATGATCAGATAAATCTGGAGCGAAGATGGATAAGAGCATGAAAGAAAAGACAAAGAGGCGGAGAACAAAAGAAAATCCAAATTCAGGTCCTAATGATCACAGGAAATGGGCCCGTGCACAAACTGCAATGCTGATATCCGGTGGTAATGACGCAAAACTCTTCACATATCCTGCGAATGGATTCCTCTCTTTCTACCCTCACGATGTTTGTCCCTGTCCCGAAAGGCCCTTTATCCAGCTGGTGCAGCAATCAGCCATTAATGGAGACATTTTGTTGATGGCTCAGCATCCAAACAGAGTTGACATCTGGAAATTTCATAGTAAAGCATCAACGGCTATGGAATCTGCTAATAGAAACTACTATGGGAATGGACACTCGGTATTGGGAAAGCGAAAATGGGAAGGAGAATCATATTCAGGTACTGCTGGTAGGGAGCTGATGAGTAATGGAAACTCTAACAGTGTTTCAAAAGCATTTGTACCTCATAGCAATGGTCATGCGTCAACGCAGAATGGACAGAGAAAGCCTCTCCCGGACAGGTTTGGGAATTCTCCTGGTCAGTCTTATGGAAAAGCTCCTGGCACACCACCAGCGCTCTTAGCAACAATTAAGATAAATTCGAGTGAGAACATTGTATGCAGTACTATATCAGGTAGTGGAGACCTAGTTGCTTTCGCCGACAGTCAGAGGCCTCGTTTGTATGTGCTAGAGCGCAAGGGGACATCTGATTTATTCCAAATTAAAAGGAAGAAACTTCCATCAATTCTACAAACTGTCAACTGCATGATTTTCAGTGCGGACTCTAGCCGTCTAATTATGACAGGGCCTCGGGGAGTCATTTGGGTACGTCTGTTTTACTCGTTTGTTTGTTTGAACTTTGATTCTTTTTAAACTTGACAATTTTGGGTGTGGTCTGATTTTTAAATGGTTTTTGTTTACTTGATTTTCTCGCGTTGGATTTGAGGATGAATAAGACAGAAGTACTCATGGAAGCTGTACTATTGTTAGGTATCTATTCAGAATCTTAATTAAGCCTTTTGATAATACAGGTTGTTGACCCAAAAAGTGCAGAACTAGTTCATACATTTCATGTCCCTACTCATAAGAATGATCGATGGGCGAATGGGCTTGTGAAAGTAATGTGCGCAAGTCCCGATGGGCAATGGCTAGCTGCTGCATCAAGCACTGGGCAAATAGCTGTTTTCAATTTCGAAGTTTTGAGGTAATTGTGGTGCCAGCTGGATACGTGCTTGTGGTTTGGATCCTACTCTAGAGAACTTTTAGTCCACTCCTAACCAAGCAGCGCAAGCATTAACTAGGAAGTCCTATGGTTTCTGATTATGCAGGCACCAGTGGACAGTGCCAGTGCTTGACGGGACCCCGGCGACAGCAATGGTTTTTCATCCAGGAAGTAACAACGTTCTTTTTGTGAGCAGTGCTGCCAATCAGATTCATGCTTTAGACGTGGAAGCGAGGGCTCCTGGACAATGGTCAAGGCATAATGGTGCTCGTGTTGCTAAGAAGTTGCAGGACTTCCCGGGTACTATTATTGGGCTTTCGCTACCCTCATACCCGAAGTCCACATCGATCATTGCTTACAGTTCCAGGTAAACTTTTCGCTCCATATCATCATCTACTTACAACTCTCTGTATAAGTGATTTTTTTCTGTGTTCTTGACTTTTTTTCTCAGCAATGTTACAATCTCGTCGTAGCGTCTCCATGACGTGCTTCTTAGTGTACTTACGGTATCTGTGTTCACCTGCAGTGCCATGTGTCATATCGACTTAAGCCAACCAATAGGGGAAGAAGCTGCGCCATTGGTGGAGAAGATGACTGAAAATGGTTCAGATGCAGTTGATAATCGAAAAGGGCATGCAGGTGTGAATGGGAATGGGAATGGAAATGGGGTTCTTGCTGGGGTTAATTATAGTAGTAATAATGGGGAGAGTAAGAGTTTGGTAGTGGTGAATTTGAAGAATCCTGTTCTTTTCTTAGGTCATACTGGGCGTAATTCTGTACTGATCGTAGAAAGACCTTGGATAGAAGTCTTACGGCAATTTCCTGCCCCTGTCTCTAGGCATATTTACGGTAATTGAGATAAAGCAAGGGCTAATTCATCTCTTGCTCTCTCATTTTTTGAGTGTAAGATACTATCGATTTTTTTAGTAATTTTATCTTTTGATTTAAGGTCATTAACTGTAGACAATTTTACGACCAAGTTTGAAACGTTTGTGTTCGACTAATCCTGGTATTGCAATGTATGTAAATATTGAAAGTATCAAAATAAAGGATCTTTTTAAATGGTGCGATGCAAAATACTTGAGACAAAGGTATTGGTCTTGCAATGAATGTATTGTGAAACTATGTATGTATTGTGAAACTAGTTAATTTTTTTAACTACTGAAAATTATTTGACCTTTCTGCCCATTTTCTAAAGAATCTTATTTAGGCCCAGATTGCTGTAAGTTCACTAACACAAGGGTTATAATGGATAATGAATGCTTTTAGCCAATCAAAAAAATTAAAAGTTTTAGCATCTTACTTTTTTCTAAGTGGCACTTTATATCTAGAAGCCCACTTTAAGAGGCCATAGTTCAAGAGCTTTACTTAAATCTTCTATTTGGTGAGTAAAAGCCCTTCTTTAGAAACCTTGGCCTTTGGATGTAGTATGAAGTGTAAGAGGTAACAAAATTGGCCAAATCATTCTTTCACAGCAAGTCTAACCATGTCTTCTTCCATATTGGTTGAAACAATTATGAGAAGTAAAATAAATCAATTTTTTGTTTTTTAAATAGGTTTTTTAAGCATCTTATTTAATATAGCTTCTAGATTATTATTTTTAAGTTAATTTAATTTAATTCTTGTTTTGAAACCACCTCTTTAAGATGGTTTCAATATAAATTTTGGAGGATAATACTACTCATACCATGTAGGAAAAAAAATGCATTCCACTTCATTTCATCTTCTTACTGCTATTAGACTTTATATATATATATTTATATATATATAGCCAACTAAAAGAAGCTTCTTGCTTTTATCCAATCAAAACATTTAAAAGTCAATGCCTCTTATTTTTTCTAGATATAGAATGCTCCTAAGTATGAAATGCAAGTTTATTAAACTAATGAAATTACTATATATTCAACACTTTACATGACACATAAAAAAGAAAACAAAAATTTGAGTTAAGATTCTGAAAGAATGTATTTGACAGAGGTATGAATTGACTATTTATAATATAGGCTTTTATTTCTTTTATTGGATTTTTTCATCCTAGAGTTGAGAATAAAAACAAAGTGAAAAAGAATTGAAATTAAATGCCAAGGTCCCAATATGACATTTAAGTTTCAAGTTAGTTTTTTTTAATATAAAATTAAGTAAATCATAAATAATAAATTGATAAATTTGGTGTTGTAAAGATTTTATTTTTATTTCTAATTTAATTCTAATTTTACATGTATAACTTTTAAGTGCCAAGAATGTCAAGTTGCACAAGCTTGAATAGTCTTTTGAAATTAATAAAATTGAATTAAAACAAAGTTTTATTTATTTATTTATTTAATTTGATATATTATGTCAATAATAATATTTTGATTAGGATTATGTTTTTAAATTTTTGATTTCAATTTGATTTTGCTATTAATTTTTATTTTGGTGACAGTATTGAGGATAAGAAGAAAGACCATCCAACATAATTTATAAATATCAAATTTTTATTGTAAAATGGTATTGAAAATATCAAAATAAATAAGCAAGATAACAATTTTGTCTATTAGATATTGATATTATCTACTAATAAAGTCTATTGTCTATTTTTACACAGTATATTATTATTAACATTTAATAAATAAACATAATTTAAATTGAAAGAAATTCAATCAGATATTTAAGGTCATTAATCTCATCATTTTATTTTATCTAGATCTGATTGATTCAATATTCTTGATATAATTTTCAAAATACTCAAAAAAACTACATAAACAATTACAAAAAATAAAAATTCATTTATTTATATGAAATATAAGGAATAATCTTATTATAATAATAATAATAATAATAATAATAATAATAATAATAATTACTATTTAGAAATCATTAACATTTAAAGATAGCCAATGCATCAATAATATATATTTAATAATTTTTTACTTTTATATAATATATTTTTCAAATATAATATGTACTTTTTTTAAAAAAATTATATTATATTTAAAAAATACTATATATAATATATAAAAATATTATATAAAATACTTCTAAAATAATAATAAAATATTTAAATCATGCTTAAAATACATAATATTAAACCATTGTATTTTTCAATGATCCATTGATATTTTTGAAGGTATTTTATTCTTAAATATAACTAAGTCCAAGAAGAATATGAAAGAAGAAATTTTTTTTCTTATAAAACATATCAAATTAGAACTAATACACTTATTCTAAGATTGTATTAGTATTGATTGTAAATAAATACTTTATACTAATAAAGATGAAATGGATAATATTATAAGGCATAAAATAAGAATATTTACAAAAAAACATTTACAAATAATTCTTGTAGATTTTAAAAAGATTTTAAAAAGATTTTAATATTTATGATTAAAATGATTAAAATTCTAATAAGATTCTCTATACACTTTGAAATATATTAAATAGATATATTAAAATATATTTATTTAAAAAGAATTAGAAAAAATATATTTACATAGATCAATTTAATTATGTATTACAAAGAATTTTATAATATATACTAATTATATATATTTTAAAAATATTTTATATTTTTAAATAAATAATTAAAATATTTTTTATACAACTTATTATTATTTTTTCAAAAACACCTTTTTAAAATAGACCAAATAAAAATTTCAAATAACAATATTCTTTACATGTTATATACATATATGTTGATATTAGTAATTACTTAGATTAAAAGAATTAGATAAAAATTAAAGTAGGAAATTTAATATTATCTTATTGAGAAGCTTCTTAAAAGCTTTACAAGCAAATATTTAACTTTAAAAGTGATTGTAGGTCATTTGTAGGTTGAAAACTTCACCAACAAGTATTAAGGATACAAACATGACGAAGATACATAAACTTGTAGAATCTATGTCAAAAGAAAAGTGACAAAATAGAAGAAAGTATGTATATGCAAGGGAGAACTAGAATGGCTATTGCCAAAGACTAGAAAACATAAGACTCTTGAAACTAGACTAAAAGTAAGAAAGACATTGACAAGAGTGACGAAGGCTTCACTCTTGCCTCTATGTATACTACTTAACTAAGAACTACGTGGTGATATGCTATAGGACCTCTAATACGCGTCCAACTTGCACGACACATGTCTAATTTGCAAGGCAAGTTTCCTAGGTGTGCGCCATATGTCCAACTTGTACTACTAGTAGTCAGCATGTAGATACATGGCCTCCTTATTGGCCAAGTTTTCAACCTACCAATTACCTATAGACATGTATAAAGGCAAATCAACATCTATAAAGCTTCTAGGAAGCTTTCTACAAGATATTATCATATTTATCTACTTTGACTTACTCCTACCTATTTTTATTATCTAGATAATTATTTAGGTAAATATGTATGTCCGTGATATTATCTCCCTTTCTAAGAACAAGTTCCACGAGAAGTGATGATTACATGTTGATGAAGTCTAAGATGTGCCGAATTGTATTTGCCACATACTGTGATCTTTGTTTCCTTCGAAGATAGTTGATGGGTCCTTTCAACCATTGATAATGTCCCATATCAGGGCAAAAAGACCACCTTGATATTTGATAATTATTGAGGCCTTCATAACTTCCTTCAAACAAAACATTACTAATACCATCAGGAGTGGTTCATATCTCCAAAAGTATTACTAAACACCAAAAGTCCCTTCCAAGGTCGTGGTACTAAATGCGTTGTATCTCGCCATCTATTCGAAGAAAAACATGTCGTTCTTGAGGATTTTCATCTCGATTTAGTCATCTCTAAGGTTGTGATAGTCACAATGTCTCGTTTGGTAGCTCAGTAAATGATAGCTCTTGACTTGAATTTGCTGGTTGTTGGTTCTCCATCTCCTAAGTACTAAAAAATCTAAAGAAATAATGATACATGATAGAATGAAATCTCTATTGGGCTTGCTTTGCTTTACAGCAAAGAATTTTTTGACTCTTCATGTTAGTTTTGATGGATGTCATTGATGAAAAGCTTTAACTTTGGCTGATGCATTTGCTAGATTTCTAGATGGCTTCCATTTGCGTTCACTAATGTCATATATATGCCAATGTATTAGATATTCTAACCTATTTCAGTACCGCCTTGAATTTAAGACTTCTTTGATATCAAATTCTTCATTATTGTCTACTTCTATAAGAGGTGGTGGCATTTGTCTTCTTCCTTGTATATCCATTATTTTGTATGGCTCAAGTAAAGAAAAATGGAATACATTATGGATTTTCATAGACTCCGATAGGTCTAATCAATAAGAAACTAGATTAATCTGTTCACAAATAGAAAATGGTCTAAGCCTATGTTAATCCAGCTTGTCACAAAGACAAATAGTTTTAATATTATCATAAAGTAATTATACCTTATCCTCCACATGGAATTGAGGTTGTTCTTTGTGATAGATATCTGCATTGGCTTTTTGTTGTTCTTAAGCTTCTTTTAATTGTGCCTTTATTGTTGCATGTAGCTCTGACAATTGATTTGCTACATCTTCTGCTGCAAGATTATCAACTTTTGAAAAGTCAAAAGTATCAAATCATAGATGATAACCATATTTGACAAAAAAAAGTGTTTGTTGAGTAGAAGAATGTATCAAATTATTGTAAGCAAACTCTGCCAATGGCAAACGAATTGTCAAATCATCTTATTGATAGTTGATGGTACACCTCAAATATTGCTCTAAAAATTGATTTATCCATTTTGTTTGTCGATCAGTTTGAGGGTAGAAAGCCAAAGTTTTATATCCACCTTTAATACCTTAAAAAGAATTCTCTAAAATCTTGATAAAAATTGTATTCTTCTATTTGATATAATATCCCTTGATAATCCATAATAGCCATAGTTATTACCAAGGAAGAGTTTAGCTATTCCTTCACCTATGATAGATTTTGTACATAGTACAAAATGTGCCATCTTGTTAAAACGATCTACAATTACAAATATTCAATCATATGAACTTGAAATTGGAAGATCCATTATAAAATCCATAGAGACAGAAGACCATGATTGTTTTGGTATATGTAATAGTTGAAAGAGTCCATAAGGTCAATGACGAAGAGTTTTTGATCTTG